GAATATGATATGTGTGAATAAAGGTTAATTACTGAAAATATTTCGCTCACCTATACAAAGATTTTTTTCTCCTTCTTTCTCCCCCTCTCTTTTCCTTTTAGTATGTTTCTCTATCTTACTGTCTACCCACTTATGTGTCTGTCTCTGTTTGTCTCTGAATGTCTCTCTGTCTGTATATATGTATTGTATATACGTAAGTATATATGTATATTTGTATATGTCTATATTTACACACACACACACACACACACACACACACACACACACACACACATATATATATATATATATATATATATATATATATATATATATATATATATATATATATATATATATATATATATATATATATATATATATATAATGTATATGTAGGTGTTTAGCGTACATATATTTATCATCATATGTTTCCTCAAAATGTTAAATTGATATGAAACTTCATATAACTCTAGAAAGTCATTCATTGTCACTTGCAATATACCATAGATAACTGACAAGGATACTGAGACAATGCAACAAGCGTGACTGGGAAGCTGCCAGGGGCGTGAGAATGGGAAAAAATATATTTAAAAAATGTAGAAAGAGCAAAATGCTGCAGTGCGGAAATGTTGGCTGAAAAAAGACGTTTTCTCATTACTATTAATCTTATTAGCAGTTATTGTCGTCAATTTTATTCCTATTGTTATCCTTACGGTTATTGCTGATATTCTCCTCTTTACGTCTGCTGTTATTATTGTTATTATGATTATCATTACTATTATTGTTATGATTATCATAACATGTTATTAGCATAGTTATCATTATCATCCTGATTATCATTATCATTATTAATATTACAATGATGATTATTGTTATCACTGTTATCATTAACATTAATATTGTTATTGTTATTATTATTATTATTATTACTATTATTATTATTATCATTATTATCATCATCAATATTATTGTTATCATCAATATTATTTTCATTACTATACTTATTATTATTAATGACAGTCCGTTTCCCCAAGAGAGCCTAATGGCAGCAAACTCAAATAGAGATGGTGCTGGGAGGAGGGCAAACTTCCCTCTCACTCAGCCCATCGGACCCCCACAGGTGGATTAAGGGACCTACAACAAGCCAACCCTCGCTATTTGGGGCAATGTCGGTGAGGTTAAACGGGCTGTCAGGGTGGGTGCTTGGAAGGTCCGCTCTTTGCGACAGGACGATCGGTTACCACTACTGTCGAGGGAGCTCTGAGGGAGCTTTGAGGTGGCTGCACTCTCGGAGTTGAGAAGACCTGGCAGCGGTATAATTAGTATGGGTGGCTACAATTATTACTGATCGGGGAGTAGCAGACTCCCTGGAGTAGTAGAGGTCGATGAGTGTATAATGGTGTTGAGACTGAAGCTTAGATTTGGGTCCATGTGCCTTATTGCTGTGTTTGCTCCTACTGATGTTAATGAACTTGATGTGAAAGAGATGATTTATGCCAAAATTGAATCTGTGACAGACAGCTGTCCTTGGCAAGATATTCGTATTTGTTCTGGGAGACTTCTGGCTGCAACCGAGTTCTGTGGAAGTGTTCATAGATTAGTTGTGGCTTCTCTCCGCGTCCACTCCAGAACTCCCCGTCGTTCCAATGTATACCCTAGAATGTTTCATGTGGACTGATTGAGGGAGGGGGAGTGTGGCCAGGGGTTTGCTGAAGCTATCTCTGGTTGTTTCGCAGCACTCAGGGGCCTGACAGAGCCTGTTCTTCTCTGGAACACCTTCAAGTGTGGAAAACTTGATGCAGCCCAAGAATCAATTGGTGAAAGCTCAAGAGCAAGACAGAATTTCATCTCGCAGGAGACACCAGAAGCCACAGATGCTTGCTCAGCAAGTGGTCAGATAATCTCAGATCCTGTTGAGGTGCGGGTGCATTGGGCTGAGTATTTTAAGCAGTTATACCAGCTTGATCCACCAACAATTAACCTGGATGCGGGTAGTGTCGAGATTCCTTTGCCAGACCCACCCGTCAGCAAGGATCCATCCTCCCTGACTGAAGTCAGGGAGGCAATCTCCATGCTGAAGGGTGGTAAAGCGGCGGGTATCTGCGGCATCCCGGCAGAACTGCTAAAGGCTGGTAGAGAACTTATGGCAAGGGGCTTGCATGTTGTACTGCCTGCCATCTGGCAGACTGGTATCATTCCCCCTGACCTCTCTTGAAGAGGAAAGGGGATCGGTAGGACTGCGGCAATCACCGAGGCATTACACTGCTCAGTATACCGGGTAAGGTTCCCACTCACATCCTTCTGAGATGTATCAGATAACACCTGCTGAGGTACAAGAGGCCGGAGCAATCTGGATTTACTCCTGTTAAGTCCACAATAGACTGTATCCTGGCACTTCGAGTCATTGTAGAGCACCACCATAAATTCGGGAATGGGCTGCTAACAGCTTACATCAACCTCAAGAAGGCGTTTGATACAGTGTATCACGAATCACTCTGGAGATCCTGAGACTAAGAGG